GTAATTTCCTGTAGCCTAGTTATTTTTGGGTCCTCACGTTTAAACTTGGTACTTTCATCTTGGGCAGAACTGGCCCACCCAGGCTACTTTTCTCATAAAGGTGTGAATGAGGTCGCTCTTGAGTGAGGTATGACCGCCCGTATGTATCTGAGTTAGAAATCCCACAGGTGCTTATTCCTTTCTTCCTTTGACCACGTTCTAACTTAAGTTTTTGTTCTGGCAGCAACAGCAACCTCAGTCTGTGAGGAATGTTGAGCAAGGGGAATATACAGTGATTTACAGCTAGCAGTTGAGGTCTGCACTAAATAGTGAGAGTTGAAATAAGTGTCTGTTTCTCTTTCTGGAACTCAGCTTTTTCAGCAGTGAGGACTATTTTTCTACCAAGATTGCTCCCTGGGGCTAGATTTTCCTATTGTCAGTAATCAATGTTCTGGAGACTCAGTGTGGAATGCTGAAGACTAACATTTGATCAGAAAGCTGATTGTGAAAAAAGCACCTTTTTATCATGTATCTCTGCTAGGTCAATAGTAATTTTTAAAAACTTGACAGCATTGCCAAGCCAATCTGGCTGAAATGCAAATCTTATTTCTGTGCTAGAGGAATTTCAAGCAAACCATCTTAAGACACAGTTGTGTATTGCTGTTATATCAAAAATGAGGTAGATCTGGTTACAGAAGAATATGTGTATGCACCAGCTGTACATTTTGATATCATTTCAGATATATCATTGGCTCAGTGGCTTAGGCATCTGGCTGTGGAGCCAGAGGTTGGGAATTAGATTCCCCACTGTGCCTTCTTGATAGCTACTTGGACTTGATCATCCATAGGGTCCCTTCTAGTTCTAAGATTATTATTATTAGGTTATATTGTAATATACTATATTTGGTTACATGTCATGAAAAAATGGGACTCGCTAGAAAAGACAATATTGCTGGGGAAAGTTGCAGATGGCAAGAAAAGAGGAAGAAATACATGGGAAGAATTGACTGAATAAAGGAAACCACAGTCTTTATTGGTACCTGATCAGGTCTGTTATGACAGGACCTTTTTAAAGTCACCGATTCATAGAGTTGCCATAAGTCAGAAGTGAATTGATGGTACATAACAATACATTTTAATGTCACTGTTTGCCCTCTGGCTACCTACTTACACTAATATCTGTATTGCCTTTAAATAGCCTATACACATCCATATACATTGGACCAGAATTTGCTGTGTTGATTTATCCAGAGCTATTTTTATTGTTCTCATATGGTCAGTTGCTTAGGTCTGTTTTTAACAAAGGATGAAAGAATGAATACAAGAAGCTTGTATTGATTTGCCATAGGCTGTGTTCTCAGGAGTGGTCTAAAAACATTTCTCAGACTCTCCATTCAGACATCTTACAAGAACAGATATGTTTTAATATCAGTGAACACAGTGACTGAAATCCTATTCCTTAAGTTATAGTGCCTAAGGCCGATGAGGTCATCGGCTGTGGCAGTTTTTCAGAAATAAAACATTTTCAGTTTTCTCACCAAAGGTTCTGAGGTTTTTGTGGAATCCCTTTTGTTGTGGGGATGTAAGGGGTGGGTGGGTGTGAGAGAGGGAGGGAGGGAGAGGGACAGAAAATTGCTGCCACTGTTAAAATCAACCTGGTGGCTATGAGTTTGGGTAATTAAAGACTTCCCCCTGCCCCTCGCACATTTTCACAGTGATGAAATAGATTCCGTTGGAGGCTCAGGATCTTTGATGGGGAAACTGGAAATGTTTTATTTCCAACAAAATAAAAAACCCTGACATCAGTTTTATGCAGTGTAACTTACAGAACAGGATTTCAGTCAGTATTACTTAACTGTTTCCAAAGAATATACACAGTTTTGAGACAAAGTTGGGCTGGTCATTTTCTTCTCTCCATCTGTGATGGAGACTCAAGCCATTTGAAAACACTGTTAGGTCTGAAATTGAATATATCCAAAGTTGAATGTGGATTCTTTGTATACCACCATATGATGTGCTTGCCACAGAATGGTGGTGAACTTCTAACCAAAGCAAAATACAATGCTGTGCTTGTCCTACTGGACCGAAGCTACAACCACAGCAAATATTTTTGGTGTTACGTAGCTTTGTGTATCAGTGATTTTTCTAATGCTCTACCATTTGTGTTAGGGGGCTTCAAATCCCAGAATTCTCCAGTAATGCGACAGGCAGAATTGTGGAAGTTCAACCCCACAAACACTTATGCCTACATTTCACTCATCTGTAGAAAGGTTAAGACCGTCTTCTAGGCCATTGATTCCTAACCTTTGTTACTCGGATGTTTTTGAACTGCAACTCCCAGAAACCCCAGCCAGCACAGTTGGTGGTGAAGGCTTCTGGGAGTTGCAGTCCAAATCTCCTGAGTAACCCAAGGTTAAGAACCAGTGTTCTAGGCCACTGATTCCTAACCTTGGGTCTTCAGATGTTCTTGGACTATAGCTCCCAGAGTCTAAAACTAGATTGAATGTAGCCCCTGGTTCAGACACCTCCTTGTACATTAGAATGCATTTGTGAAATCTTGCTTCTCCAGCAATGTTCCGTGTAAGGTGCATGCACGTGTGCTCACTTAGAGCTCCATTGGTTCTGCGCATGGGCACCCAGCTGCTGACTTGTTTACTTCCCGTTTTGAATGAAGCCCTGCCCGCCTATGCATGTGCAGTGGGAGAGAGAATTAGAGGGAACATTGTTCTGCAGTATTTCTACCAGATTTTGTCAATGTCTGTTCTGACATCATTTTCCTTACATGGATGTAGGAAAAATGAATTTGAATAGCTTCTCAGATTTCATAGTAGCTGGTGTTTGTGTAGAAATTCATGTGAAAAATAAAGGCCTACTGTTATGTGTGAGCTTTAAGGAACCCTTCTATATGTTATTAACTGGCGCTGAAAGACTCACATTTAATAGTTTAGTAGTACAATAAATACAAAATAGCTGATCTAGTTATTTTGAGTTACTTAAGTCCTTATCTGAGCTGTTCTGAGTCCTGTAGTTCAATGGTCCCCAACCTTGGGCCTCCAGATGTTCTTGGACTTCAGCTCCCAGAAATCCTGGCCAGCAGAAGTGGTGGTGAAGGCTTCTGGGAGTTGTAGTCCAAGAACATCTGGAGGCCCAAGGTTGGGGACCACTGCTGTAGTTTATCAAATGTGCATGGAACAGTGTGTTCATGTAAATTATAATAATGAGACTACTAAATATAATATAAGAATATACATTCAGAACTTTTAAAAGATATCCACCTCCGAGATATGTTCCACTTATTGAAAGCAACCATTCTGGAAGACCTAAAATGAAGTGTCTGGCCTTCTGCCATTACTGTAAACTAATCTGAATTTTAGAATATTCTATAATTTATATAAATACAGGTAAGGTCTGACAGATATCAAATATTTGTGTGTTGCATTATGTATCTGGCTTTCTTTATAAACATTGAAATATATTTGAAATGCCTGCAGTGCCAAAAGAAGTGGGAGGATGGCATGACTTAAGAGAGATAGGTACTGAGCAGATACTTGTACTCATCTAGTAACTATAGGACCAAGACTGAATGCCTGGCTACTTTGCACAGATGCAGGAAGTTTGTAGTTGTGTGGATGTCTGGAGGTTCAGCATTTTGGGCACATTCTCTTAAAGCAGGAAGTAGCTAATTTGGTGGAAGGTTCCTGCATAACATACCTGTCAAAATAAATAAATATGTGCACTTCTCTTGTACATCATGGAGTTTTCAGTCAAGAAACACTAGATACAGAGACTCTCACCCCCTCTGGATTGAAAAAATAAAATAGTAGGAATGGGAGGTGAGGGCTCAGATAGCAGGGGTAGGAGTAGATGTATGTTCATCTTCTTCCCTTAATGATTGTTCAGTCATTCTGAACACATGGAAATTCCGTGCTTCTGTGTGTTTTTCTAAAAGGCAGGTGGTTTCGTTGTTACTTGTCCAGTGCTTCTACCACTTTTGCTTATTGTTGTGTTACAGTAAGGACAAGGGGATAGGGAAATGCACTTAACACCAGAAAACATTTAATACAGCAGCAGTTCTTAAGCTAAAGTATATACAGGGGTGCCCCACATAGCGACGATAATCCGTTCCAAAAAAATCATCGCTATGTGGATTCGTCGCTATGCGGGGCAAAAAAAGCCCATAGGAATGCATTAAACCACGTTTAATGTGTTCCTGTGGGCTGTAAACTCACCGCTGTGTGGAAGTCCTCCATGCGGCCGCCATTTTTGCTGCCCGGTAAGCGAGGAAAGGGCGCGAAAACGCTGCGGGCGGCCATTTTAATTACCCGGTGGCCATTTTGGAACCGCCGATCAGCTGTTCCAAAAACATCGCTATGCGAAAATCGGTAAGCGAAACGCTTACCGATCATCGCAAAGCAATGTTTTCCCATTTAAAACATCGCTATGCGATCACAAAAAGGATCGCAAAAAACCATCGCTAAGTGGATTCGTCGTTAAACAAATCGCTCGTTATGCGGGGCACCACTGTATATAAGTAATTGGGCAAGACTAACTCCACATAAGAGCAATATATAAATTTAGCAAAATCAATGTGGATGGAAGTTTTTTAATTTTTATTTATTTATTTATTTATTTATTTATTTATTTATTTATTTATGGCTTACAATAAAATAGCATAAAAGCAATGAAAACAGCAATTTAAGCAAAAATAATATCACTCAAGATGGGAAGAAAAAGCTCAAATTAAAAATGGAAGAGTTTCATCTATGCCTCAGATGGGAACATCAATCTGTAATTGGACAGAAGTTGTAGGATTTGAGCCCCTCTGCAGGGAGAAAGGCAAAGTAGAATTCAGTCAATCAGATACATAAATAAATACATTGTAAACACCAGGCAGCAAATGCTTTTTAGACAGCTTGGATTCAGTCAAACTGTTTCTGCTAGCCAGCTGACACACATTAATCAAAGACTGTCATAATGAAGGTTGCACTCACTGATTGATTTTTCATGTGTTCCCCTTTCAGGTACCAAGACTGGCAACAATGAATCTGGAGTGAGGAACTTGTGACTCCACAATTCTGTGTGCTAGGCCCTGAATCTTCTTTTTTTGGCTTAAAACAGTGTACGTGGAGAGAGAATGACTCTTGGATTTGTACAGCTGTCCCCACTACTGGGGAGGACTTTGCTGGTGCTCATGGTGACTACTTCTGTTAAGTGCCATTGGCCCAGTGAGGCCTCAGACGTTGTACGGGACTGGGAAAACCAGTTAGAGGCCTCAATGCATTCGGTGCTTTCAGACCTCCGAGAGAGTGCGCCCGCAGTGGTGGGGATTCCAGACAGCTCCGCTGTAGTCGGTCGCTCCTTCAGAGTCACCATCCCAACAGATCTAATAGCTTCCAACGGAGAGGTTATCCAGGTGAGAACTTGGAATTATAATCTCATATGCCATCTCTTCTTCTTCTGTCTCTTGCCAGTCATATGGTGGCAGTGTGTAGAAAATTCTAGGTTTACCTCCATACCCAAATGACACTGAAGAACAGGCAGTTATATTTTTCAGTTTTCCTAATTGTGAAATCTGAGTGGGCTTGTTTTGGAAGCTGCAACTTTAATGAGGGTTAGGGAATTCATAACAGACTTGCTCCATCCCAGCAACTTGTCCTAGATCTAGCATTTTTAGTTTTTTTTCCTCTTTCTCTTTCTGTTGCACTGCTTTTTTTTCTTACCTGAAGTATGTACCATGGTGTAAGTCTTGATGTACCAGTGTTGCAAAGGATTGAGGGACTGGTGGCTTTTTTTGGGAGGCACCTTGTACAGACCCTGGTGGACAGAGGGACTACCAGTGCCCAATCCCTTGTAGTTCCTATTGGGCTCAGCCATTATCACCAGCTTCTTCTGTCTTCTTGACAGGAACAAAGTGGCTGACAGCCTTCATTCTCCATTTGTAAGAACTTGGGTTTCTTAGGAAAAGCTCCAAGAATTCTAGATGAGACAATTCCTGGTAAATTCTGAGGGCTGAGATGCAAGAAATATAAAAATTCCATGCATACTGTTTAGCTCACCTGGGTGTATTTGTACTGTCACTAAACTGTCAGAAAAATAGCTCTTATGTCAGCTGTTCTACATGCAAAAGGTTAAGGCTGCAGCAGAAAGATTATGAGTTATTGGTGAAGTACAAATGGTTTTCCAGAGCATAAATAAGGACACCTTCTATAATTCTCCTTCTTGTCCACCCTGGCCTCCAATGAATTGACCTCATGCCATTCCCTTGTGAATAGCCTCTGGAGGCCACATTCTGGGGTGTGCATGGTTGGAGCCAGCACTGGATGGTGCATGTGCAAAAGGTCCCATTTCTGTCTCTGTTTCCATCACTGCCTGTTCCCTTGCCTCTACCACCCCATCTTCTCTTCCCCCATATAGCAAGCAGGCTGTTAGTGAAAAGACAATTCACTCTTACAGAATTCTGAACTGTGTCAGCTTGCAGAGGATTTGAAAGTACAACGAGAGCTGCACATTGGGGAAGAAGAAGAAGAAAAAAGCAAAGTGTGAATGAAGTGACTAGTTACACAGGGATTATGAGATTATATATGAAATGTGTGGGTTTCTTAACACGGATGTTTAGTGAAACTTTGTGAGTGCCCGTTGATGGATTTTTTTTCCAGCTGAGAACATTCAACAGTGTTGAGCGTTTTTTGCCCTGTGCCTACGAAGTGTGTTGCAGTCTGCTGGTCAGCTTTCAAGACAAGTTGATAACAGATATTTCATTTGTTCCTTTTCTTGTTTTTCTGTATCTTAAGATATATCAAAGGTATGGTTACTGCAGGTTTATCTGTGTAGGTCATTTCGAGCTCTCTAGTTCTAAGATGATGATTATGTGGGAGAGTTACTTTGCTAGCAACATTTGTCACATAATATGTTCATAGAAAGCCAGATGGGTTTTGTCTTACACCCTGAAGGTCAGAAGAAAGTGATAGGTACTGATAATTACTAATAGGCATGAATCTGCTGGTAATCTGTTAAGTGATTTCCAAGCTGTAAAAGAAAAGTCACTTCTCCTTCTCTTTTAGGCTGTTTTAATGTTCTGCATCTTTCAGATGGAATGAATTAGACAAATGGCAGAGGTGCTAATCTTGTGTAACCTCAGAGGATTCACAAGATCTGTAGAACTAAAGACCCAAGTGTTGGTGTAGGGTAAAAGTGGGTTAAGAAGCTTTTCATGCTCACCTGATTTCTGGGTAACCCTCTTTTCAAATGAAGGGAAATCCTGTCCTATTTGCTAGCTACTGGTACACCTAGAAAAACATTGTATGCAATTGGTGTTATACAGAATTCTTAGGATTTCAAAGGAGGGCTGCTGACATTTACTAACAGTTATAACTTGTAATCTGCCTCTGAATTTTATTTGGTAGTTTGATTAGAAATCAGAATATAGTAGTCTGCCTTTTTTAAACAGAGGTATGAACACACTGTTCAGCTTAAAGATTCAAGGGGCAACAAAGTCCTCCACAATCTTTGACTTACTGTTTTGTCTTTTTATTCTGATTTCTGACTGACATTTCTGCCTCTGTTAGATTAACTATAACTACTTTGAGCATGTGAATGTTCTAATCCCCACAACTCATGTGATAGGTTAACCCTTTAAAAATTCAGAAATGCCTTCAGTTCTTTATAGTTTTCTTTGCTGATATGCCTAGATTTTTGAGAAGAGTGAGCATTACAAGTGGATTCATTATTCCAAGTCTGTAAGCTAGCTCACAGAAGTCTCAGAATATGCTGCTCTTCCAACCAACACATACCTAGTACTAATCAGTATATAAAAATTCCCAAACCTAGCCTTGCTTCAACATATTGAGGAGTCAGTTCCTAGTGAACAGAGCAAAAAAGTATTAATATATTGGTGGTTATGACTTAGGGTTGAATATTATTAAGCATTATTAAACAAAATTCTTTTGAATTTTGTAGTCTTTAATAGCAGGTATTTCTAGGACTGATGGAATGCTGGCCTATCTTGATGTGTCCTGTAAACACAATTCAACGTAGAAGTCTGTGGGGGGGGGTGCATTTTCCTTTGGAGCTGGCTTCTTAGGCCACACATTTTCCACTTATTTTTCACCCATTCTGCAATTTACAGATCAAAGGTACAGGGCATACACGTAACTGATGCACAGATGGGGCTATATCAGTTAAAAAAAAATCAAATCCCATTAATTTAATAGGTTCAGTTGGCTCCATTTAAAGGTTGTTTTCTGTGGATGATGGATGAGTTGACAATCAGTATGAGTAAAGCAGCTTTGCATGCTCAAACAGGAGATGTCTTTTTCACAAGTCTGATAACTCACCATCTGCTGGCAAGGCCTTTATTTAACAGGTTTAGTCTTATCTAATATTAAGGAGATTTGTCGGGCAAACAGGATCTGAAGAGTTTTGTTTGTAGAAGCCAAATAGGCTCATTATCAGCTGTGAAAGTGGTCACATGTTCATGGCTCCAGTCTGTCCTGATTAATGTAATAGCTACACTGTGAGAGGCATTCTTCTGGAGCATTCAGATGTGTCAGGGAGTTGCCATTTGTGTTGAATTTTTCTTTTCTGTGCTTGTGTTAAGGAGATTAATACATAGACTTCTAAGTGAACATGAATTCAAGATTAGGGTCACTCTAGTGCAAAGAGCACTTTCTGTGAAAGCGTGATGCTAAAGCAGTGGGAGAAGCAATTGGCAGCCTGCCTGCTTATTAATGGTTTTAAAAATGTGCATGCCTGGGTCTGTGGGAATGCCTGATGCTGCTTGTCACATGCTGTAGTGCTTCAGGTAACACCTCGGGGGCTCCTGGCATAAAAAGGGATCTAGTCATAGAGGCCCTTACTGAGGGGTTCAGGAGAAGATTTCTCTGGTCTTCCACTGATACAGTATATTCTTCTGTGCCTCCTATTATGTGAGATTTAGGCTGCTTGACTTTCAGTAGTGGCTTCCAGATATGGAAGATATGAGTCAATCTGATTCACAAATATTATTATTAATTGCAAACCAATTTAGAGAATGAGAGTTCTGTGTTTCAGCACTATTGCTCATGAATGCCTTCCCATATCATTGCATTTTAAAGGATGAGAAACTATGCAGTGAGCAATAATATACATCTGAACATGGACTGGATAAAAGTTACTAACTGATGCTTCAGTGCTGATTAGTAGGCAGGCTGAAACATCCATAAGCACCTAGCATATGATACAAATGTTGCCTGATAGATTATTTTTTCCTTGGCTTTTTGCTTGTAAAATGCCCTCTTTCAAAGTTTGATACCCTACCCTTGGCTCTTAACAAACTGAAGTGCAGGGTGCAGGCAATTGGTCATAGTCTGTTGCCCAAGCACATAATATCTAGTTTGAATAGACTAAATGAATTGTTTTAGACTGGCAACATATCCCCATGAAAGGGGCATTTCATTGGACAGTCACTGTTTTGTAGTGACCGCCCATTGACATTGTTGGCATGCTCTCTTGTTGTTCAAGAGAGGAAGTCTTTGTCCTCTGAATAGTTCCTTCATAATAAATAGGGGCACATCTGGGAATGAAGGCATTCCAGTGGGAATGCTAGAATGGTACTAGCAGGAGCATCTGTTCAGACCTTTGCTAAATTACGAACAATGCCCTCTCATAGAGAAGTTGTTTATAATAGACACCAAAGACAAGTGTCTCTTCAAATATGTGTGGCTTCAACATCTTTAAAATGAGTCTGGCCTCAGTTTGGTATGTATAATGTATAATTTTAGGCAGGATGGATAAAAATCAATGATTTTAATTATTTTTTAAAATCAAATTGATTGTACTTAAAATGATTTTTAAAAATGTAAATAATTAAAAAAAAACAATTTTTATTTAAAAAAATAAATAAATACACTGCTTTTAGTTGCTCATTATTCAGTGTTTCCAGATTCTCAAAGCTCCTGATGTGAATGTATTGAGTTGATCTGAAATAAAAAACTAGTTGCAGGTATTATGGAATTAGTATGTCTGTCTGAGCATCATAGTTCCCTCTAGAGCGGTCGTTCTCAAACTGGGGTCCCCAGATGTTCTTGGACTGCAATTCGCAGAAGCCTTCACCACTTACTGTGCTGGCCAGGATTTCTACAAGTTGTAGTTCAAGAACATCTCTGGATCCAAGTTTGATAACCACTGCTCTAGAGAATGGTTTTAACAGGCTGGTGTTGCTGGGTGTTCCCAGAAGTAGATATACTGTTGATCATGAGCTTACATCTGAGCATTTTTCAGAAACAGTTTCCCTCAAAATTGGTGCCTAGTTTAATCCTTATTTTCTCCCTTTTTTTCCAAGATAAGAATCCGTATTGCATCTTTTCCTCTTAAAATTCTGATCTTTGAATTTGCCTCTGTTAAAATCCGCAGTCCAGCTGTGACTAATGGGTCCCA